AAGTATTGGCGGAGTTGCCTGTACTAACAAGGATTACAAAATATGAAAAGAAAAATAACTCAAGTAATAACACTGTCAGAAGCAACAGACGGAGGTGCTGCTGTTTTGACAGAACCTGTTTTTGTAATTTTTAAAGTGATTTATGTATCATAGTTTTCAGGCTTTCATTAGAATTATGAACTTATTAAATGAACATGTTAGTAATTAAATGAACATGTGGTTGTAATGTGTGTAAATTTCGTCTTGTAAAATTGAAAATACACACACACACAAATGCTTCAACAAGGTCGCATTACAATGGGGATTTGATACTTCGAGACATCAACAAGCAACTAATTAATATTTTTTTTTGAAGACCACACGAAGTTTATCGATTGTTGCCGAGTAACTCCGAGCCGATGAACAGTATATGAAAATGGTAGTAGGTAATTGTATTAGCTACAACGCATGGTATATGGGCCTCCATGCATGTGCCTTCATTAAGAACCTATGATATATAGCTTGTACCATATTAACATTTAAGTACTAGTTACGCTCTTTTGTTTTTATAATATTTTCACATATATCTTGTTATTATTATTATTATTATTATTATTATTATTATTATTATAGCTTGGGTTACTTTTGCCAATTATCGTCATTTGTAACACTTTTCCGCTTTTATCTGGAACTTTCATCGTGTTTTTTTTTTATATTTTTTCGGCACAGTAGCTGTTGTTTGTCAGTTCTACATTTTGTATATATTATCTTTGTCGGTCTGGCGGTTAATAAGTCTATAGACAAAAGAATAATAAATAATACCAACAGTTTTATTTTGATAGGGGTACAACATTTTAGAAATATCACATTCGTGAGGAGCGGGGGAGGGTCGGGTTTGAATACTAGGTGATTTACACCGGCCCGCCTGGAAGCTCCACAACCAGCACGCCCTGAATATTTCGTGGTAACGCCCTCAGTATTACACATAAGATACTTTTGTTTTTATACCTAAAATGCAAATTAGAAAACATGGCGGTCGTCTTGACATACATGTTTCCGCATTTGTGTGACAATTTTCCGAGATTGCAGACTGCCTGCGAATCTACTAAATCAAAAAGAGACATTTTTGGAATACACTTGCCAGAAGAAGCGTCGAAATGTCTTTTAGTTGGTGAAAATGGCAGGTAAGAGAAGAGTTCGAAAATAACGTCATATACGAAAGATAGTCGGACTCGGCCAGTTGTAATCGCCGAAGAGCGAACTATATGCCTCACAACACGCCCATCAACGCTACTGTTCTCTGACATGTTGTTGATTTCAATAATTTCTATGACTGTTTTCGATTTGAATGACGCAAGTTTACAAAAAGACACTGACATTACATGGGAAACACAGACATTGCATCGGCGACCGTCTGGCTCTGTATGTAAACACGAATAATGCTGGTCGCCTGTATATTTTATTTTTTACCGTGATATGACTGAAATAAAGCCTGTGATCTTGATATTGACTAACACTGACTTTATCCTGGTAGAAAAAAAAAAATATAACATTTCAGTTCAATTACTGTATTGTAGCTTTGTGAATTGTGGTAAAGTTAAATACAGCTTTTATTAAATATCACGATATTGTCGACCCCTCGTGTATAAGGATCCGAATGGTACATGTTAGGAAACATTCACTTTTTTTTTATCTCTTGTGTTTTTTGTATGCATCACAAGTGCCTTGATGCCCATCGAGTTTACCTTGGTGCCTTTTGATATTCACTTTGATATGTTATTCTTATATGCTGAGGCCATTTTTGGTCTTAAAAATGGATGCCATATCAACTCTGCTAGCATTATATTAGTATGTAGTTTTTCACACTTGTAGTTAAACCATGATTAAATTCTCTCCAAAACTCATTGCAGAATTGATGGGTTATTTTTAAAGATAAAAGTGAATTTTGATCAAAAAGTGTCTAAAAGATGTATCTCACCCTTAAATATAAAAAATACTATAAATGGGTTTAATTTCATGAGAAAAAGTTTGTGAATTTTGTAAAAGGTGCAAAATTTTATAGCAGGGAAAATTTCGTCACGGTTATAGAAAATGGAGTGTTAGTGACTTTCACAAAACTGTCTTCATGCTCACCGGACATCAGCAATTTGCTTGTATTTTTCAAAATGTCCTAATTTTGTTTAATCTTTTGAGACAAATGGCATAAGTATTTTTTTTATTAAATTCACTGTTTTACACCAAAAATATGGCGAATAGTTATCAATGTTCCATGACACTAGTTACCGTTTTGGACATATTGTCCTTAGCTAATTTTTAGACCACTAACCCCTGTAAGTTCCTCAAGTTGTGAAAAATTCTAGCGGCAAAAATTGATTATTTTACTGTAATTATAACCAAAGTGGAGTATGCTGCAGTCAATAGTTTACTCTTTGGGTCAATAGCACTGAATATTGACTGCCCACAACAAAGATTTTAAAGGTTGATGGTTGTCGCGCAGCATGTGTTCAAATTTCATGTGAACAAACAATAGAATAGAATAGAATAGAATAGAATAGAATAGAATAGAATAGAATAGAATAGAATAGAATAGAATAGACACCGTAAAGAAAATATTACATTTATATAACAGTATATTTTACATGTATTGTTTACAAAGCATATCAAACAGGACACAGCACGATGAACACTGCCCTTTAAGAGATGTGCAACAAAACAACTATGCTAATACCAGTGGTGTCAGTAATTCTAGTGAATATTCAGGTCACATAACCACTTTGACCACCAATCAAAGTGATGTTTTCGACAGTAAGATGTAACACTATTTTATGTTAATTGTTTCAGTGGTAAAAGTTCATTGCTTTTCCAGTGTGCTCTTAGCTATGCAAGTGAAGGCAACAAAGTAGTGTACATAACACACAGTAAACTACAGACCATGCCATTGCAGGTACATGGCACATCTAGACCTGATGCCATGTTGATGAAGCAAGTACAACTTCTGTAAGTATTGCGTATTTAATCCCGACATCATAATATTTTGTTTCCCAACCAGTTAAAGTTTCATTCCCACCTTGTGTTGTTATGTAGTAAATGCTGCAAAGACCTGCAAAGTATTCACAAAGACAGAACAGCCGAATATAGGCAAACACGTAGCATAGATCTGAGTGAAATATTACACTAATTTAGTGTCCCAACTGTGAATGATCTGCACCAGGTTTATGTTATAATAGTTGCATATCCTTCACTAATGAACAGTGTGTCTCTCTCTGTAACTGACATTACTATTCTGTTCTTGTCACTCAGATATCTAGTTGACCGAGAAGCCTTACTTGACTATCTGTCTTCAATACACACTATAGCCTTACCACCTCATGTTATCATAGTAGATGATTTAGACTATTACTGTAAACCATCACAGGTAAGATACCGGTACATACATTACAAGACTATCCGGGGAGGCATTGGCACGAGAGGGCGTCGTTCGATCTGGATGGAACGTTTCAAAATCAGTCATTCGTAAGCCATCGTCAAAGCAACAACTTCACTTTTACAAACAGATGAAATGATTTAGACAATTACTGTGAATCGTCACAGGTAAAATACATAAATACAATTACATTACAATTACTTAGAAGACACATAAATCATAAAGTGCTTTTATTATATAAATTATAACATTGTTTGAATTGACAATTACATAAGCGTTTATGTTCACTAATAGAGCTGTTATTGTCTTGGATAAATAAAAAACATAAATTTCTTAATTGCCAAAAATACTGAGAAATATAATGTAAGACTGAAATGCTCAAATCTCTGCCAGAGAAATTCCCAAGATTTAATAGTTTCTGAGTGCTAGTGAGGGCTGTGTCTCAGGAACATGATTTTCACTGCTACAAATCTTTTCAAATATTTGCCTTCTGCAAAATTGATTCAGTTTAGAAAAATAGTTATAAGTGCTCCTAGTAAAAGAATTACTGTAATTTCAATATTTTAGATAAATGCAAATTTTAAATTTTTGAATTTTTTTGTCATGTTTTTAAAGCCACAAATTTTCAAATGGAATTTGTTTCTGCTCATATTGATCACTCACAGTCCCTCTACAGCCAGGTTAACTTTTTCACTACCAGACTTACTCGCCCAAATTTGTCTGCACTTTTTTTTCTGTATTCAATATTTGAGAAAGTTTGAGTTAATTGTCAGTTTTTACTCAAAACATTTGGCTATTTTTGTCCCAATCTTCTGAAGGAAAGTACAGACTATAAACGGGACTATTTTGTGAATTTGTGATGAAAAAGGGAACCAGCGGTGATAAGGTTAAAATGGTTTAGATGTATAATAACAAAAGCAATTACAAAATAATAAAAAATATATAGTAAAAATAAAATAAATTATATAAAATAAAATAAAATTACATCAAATTTTAATCAGATTGTATTTGAGATGTAAATTAGTCAATATCCTATACAGTGCTCTGCATGGGTACTGTGAAGTATGTGAAAGTTGTTCTGAAGACATGCCTGTGAACAAACTGCCACCTTTCATTCATGGACTACGATTAATAAGAATATCTTCACATTGATGTTTGGATGAAATTGGTTTAATGTATGGCTACTTCAAGATAGGTTCAAAATTTTTGGTGTCATCATGTTCTGTTCGAAAAGAATTAATGTACAAAATGGAGTATGTTATTATTATTTTTTACAGTATGTTCTAAGTCTAAGATAACATTTAGCTAGTTATTATCTAGTGTAAATCTAGCTTAGCTTGTTTTCAAAACTGACATGTATCTAAACTATGCAAAGTTATCTACCTATACCATACCATAATCAAAAAAGAATACTTTAAACTCTGCCAAAAAAGTCTTAGTAGTTTTGTGATGGGAAAACACATGATGAAGCTGAAGTTGGTTTAATTGATGGCTAGTTTAAGATACATTCCAAATTTTTGATTTGTTTCCTTTTCTTACCCCTCCTGTCTATGGACACTTTTTTTGTCAGCATTTGCATATTCTAGTGATGAAACATTATTGATTAGCTTGTATATTGTCTAAAAGGTACGAGTTTTAGATGATGTGTACTATTTGAAAACAATTTGGTCCATTTCCAGAGGAATCAAGTGAGTGTCATAGCCAGAAAATTAAAAGTGCCTGTCTAAAATCTACATTGATATGCAAAATAATAGTTGCTGGTATGTAGCGCGAGTCTTGTAATCGATTTTTTGGTGATTTTTTATTATGTATGTGTAAAAACTATGTGTTTGTATAAATTTAGCTTGTCTTTGCAAATTTTGTGTCTGTTTAAAATGACACACAGACAGGTAGCTGGTTAAAAGACTAGTCCAGATTATCATCTGATTTTCAGGATGAAAAAAAAAATTAAATAGCGCCCTCTTGTGGTGAAGTTATGAAAGTAATGGTTATGTAAACTAATAAACTATGTACTGGTATGCAATTATGCCTGATCCACTGAGGAGGTCATGCATTCCCAGACACAAAGAATGTTTGTAGCAGACTATAGTGAAATATCGAGTTGACTGTTGTGTAGTATATTGTTACCTATACTGGTAATTGAAATTACTAGACAAAATATTTAAGGTTTTCATATGTGATCTTTTAAACTGAAATATATTTATGGTGTCATCATGTTTTGTTTGAAAAGAATTAATGTACAAAATGGAGTATGTTATTATTATTTTTTACAGTATGTTCTAAGTCTAAGATAACATTTAGCTAGTTATTATCTAGTGTAAATCTAGCTTAGCTTGTTTTCAAAACTGACATGTATCTAAACTATGCAAAGTTATCTACCTAAATACCATAATCAAAAAAGAATACTTTAAACTCTGTCAAAAACGTCTCAGTAGTTTTGTGATGGGAATACCCAATGTGCTTTATTAACAATATTTATTGCAAGTTATCATAACTCTGATCTACTTGGTGCCGGTGATTTCAAAAACCATCATGCACACTGAGTATGGTAGCAAACATTTTGGTTTCAAATATTTCTCATATTTAACCATATTAACCTCAGTTAGTTTGTTTTTAGTGAAATAAAATTGATTGACAGGATATAGGCCCTTGATTGCTCTGATGTGTTGTGGGCATTTAAAGTCTTTTCTGTTTATTATTCAAACCCTTGAGAATTACCTGCGGTATAGTTTTGTATTCATTAAAGCATGGCAGGTTACAAATATAGGGCTAGGCATTCAAGTGATTTATGTAAACAAATTTGTGCAAATGAGGGTTTGGAATGTTGCTAAATATGGTTTTCATTGAAAACGCAGTTATATTTCAGTGCCGTAACCGACATGATGTTGTGCCTGGAGTTTTGTATGAACATTTTATTTGTAGCATAGTTTGGCTTCTGCATTGTGAATAATTAATTAACAATTAAAATACAGACCAACATTTTTCTTTTTTTTAAAAAAAATTTAGGGGCAGGTGACCCTTAGTGGAGGTGGACTGTATTGAAATAAAAGTAAATAACTTTCTAACCAAGCGTTGTTTGACTGCAGGCTGACAATTAGTAATTACAGAGTTAGATTGTTCAGTAATATAATGCTGAATACCTGAATACCACAGTATATTAGCGAGTGTAAACAAATAAACTAAACATGTGTAAAGCAAGTATTGTTACTTTGGCAGATTCGTAAAGTTTAACTGGGAGTTTTGAATGTTGGTCTCACACTGATCTATTTTGTTTATCTTAATAATGGCAATTCTTTAAAACAGGTGTGTGAATACAAAAGAACAGCGCCCTCATAATGTCTTCTTGAGAATTATTTAAATTCAGTTAAAATTCCAAAATTTATTTATCATACAACTGATATGTGGATGCAATCAGGTTTACAATTCAGATATCATACATATTTCTGTAATTTTGTTCCATCTCCAATATTTGGGCATTGAGAAAAAGTGATATGTTTTGAGGGGGGAGGGGGTACTCACATTGAAATGCTATATGTATATGTGCCGCCAAAAGTGGTCCCAAATTCATCACTTCTGTCTGAAAAGGGGTACGTTATTTTACCCAGGTCTGTCTGAAAAGGGGTATCCTTTTTTTCATTATTTCTGTCTGAAAAGGTGTCCAGTTTCTCCAAAGACTGTCTTTAGAGCTTGAGTGATCCATCAATCAGGAGAATGAAGCTGATTTTTCTCATTTTGATCGTCAAAGTCTATCTCTGGGAGTCCATCTAGGTAAATAAAATAGCTGACCACCCCCGATTTCCCGGAATGAATAAACCTGAAATGGATCCTCTGATTCGCTGTTTACCATTTATGCTTACTGTCTGGAAAGGGGCGTCAAATATCCACAGTTTGTCTGATACGAGGTAGACAATTTGAGTTTATTTTTGTCTGATAAGGAGTAGGGTTTTCAAACAACCAGCTACACACCCCTGTCAGTATTTTTGCAAGTACAACCTAACAATAATTATGCTACTGAATTTAAGTGATTAAAATGTATACAAATATGAGAAAAAATAGGTACAGTGTGTAAAGCCCATCCAAGACATTGACAGTGCTTGTTGAATTCATGGAAGTAATTCAGAGTAATTTTAGTCATTTTACAGTATTATGTTAAATGAAGCTACATTGTGATAGTATTTGTGTGCATTTTTGGACGGTTTGTTTATTTTTCTTTTCATTGTAATTTAGGCCATTTTTACAATGTTCCCAAAAAGGTGTTTAGGTAATTTTCTCAAACATAAAATGCAACTGGGCGTGATTTTAAAATAAATTTTGAACATTTTACAACGAACCAGTACGATCATGTGATAACTACTTCCCAGGATTACATTTGTGTAATCTACTTCCTCAGGAACCCCTTTCGTTACCACGGATCACTCCTGCCATGTCACTTGGGGCACCCTGAGGGAGCGACGCAAACGCACTCCTGGTAGAGTGGTGCGTGTCTTTAACAGCAAGATGCTTCTTGTGACTTAGCTCTGTCCCGAGGACAGGATTTTGACGGCTTGGCCAAGCGCATTGATGAAAGAAGCAATATGATTGGCTGTTGGTAAACTGATTCTAAACTGTGAGGCCACTGTCACATACACTTAGTCCTAATGAAATACTTCAAGGTGATAGTGGAGTGCTTCGCTGGAACATTCACCTTGAAAATTCAAGATGAGTTGTCTGTCCATTGGACAGTTTGATAGATAAAAGTGGCTGTTCCAATTGATGATTTACCTGTCCCTACAAAACATGTTATTTGAAAATAAAAATGGATTCCTGGCACTCATCGTTTCATAAGTCTTTAAAACAGCTGCAGGCAATTTTCTTGACATTATTAACTTTGGATAACCCGATTTGGACAGTCAGTAGAAACTTGATATCATTATTCAGCTGTCCATAGGGACAGGTAGTTTGTACATTTACCTGTCCCAGCTTAAATATCATGTCTGGAACAGATAGACACGCCTTAATTTTGATCCCTGTATATTGAATCTAAAATGCAAATTTTAGTATGATTATGCTGACTAGTATGAACTGTTTTTGACCCCTGGCAGAACACCTGATACACGTCCGTTAATATATAAAGCCTACTTCAAGCATGTATGTTTCCAATAATAAGAAATCATTTCCCATTTTATTTTATTATATATTTATAGTATGAGTTATTATTAAAACTGTGATGAATTCACATGCATGAACAGGATTTACATGATAAACATAAATCAATGTATTTATAAGACACAGATGGGTGTTAATAGCAATGTAAATATCTCCTAAATCCAGTTTTATGATAGATTGAATAAAACACGAGACTTGACAACTATAGATTTCTGACACAAATTGAGCAAGTTATTTTATATTTATTTATTTGCATTTCCTCTTTTTGTATGGGTCTAAAGCCATGATCAGACATCGAGCTTTAAATACTATTTATTCAACAGACTTACAAAAAATTTCTAGCCATGAAATGCGTTTGCATATAAGTTATTGGTTGCAAGGCCAAAACAATGACATCTCTTTTTTGAACATTTCAGCATATTTTAAAACTTTTATTCATATTTTACTAATTAATTAATTTTTATTAAAATATTATTTTAATATATTTCATTGAGATTGGCACACAGATCTGCTTGGACTTTTGCCAACTGTAGAAAAGTTATGAATAATTATTATAATTAGATCCAAAATGTATAAATACCATATGCATGTTAGTAGTAAATCATTATTTTCAAAAATCTACTATCAATTATATTTTATGCTGAAAAAAACAAATCTAAAATAGTAGACATGGATCTATTTTGGTATAAAGGAAAGTAATTTTTCATAAGAACTGGTGCCTGCAATTTAGGGGTCGACCATTTGCTATTATGGGGGTGGGGTGTTGTTGTTGAAAATTATGCTAGAAAGCAAGAGAAAATAAAATGCATCCAGCGTGTTGCAGGGAAAGATGTTGGCACACTCAAGAAATGTACATGTATATATATGACACAATGAAAAAAAAGAGAAATTGCACATTCTTCCATGCCCCCCATGATTTCATATGGTTGACCCCTTAGTGGTTCTTGAGTGTTATTTCTGTCAACATCAAACCAGACTTCATATTTTAGATAAAATGTAAATTGACAGCCTGAATTTCAAAAACTTTCACTAGAGATTTGAAAAATTCTTGTCGGTAAATAAACTTACTACTGCAATCCCATTACCTTAGCTTTATTGGGCTACTGTAAAATACTTAATTTTCACTTGGAATTTATTTTCACTATTTTCACTGAAGAGATGTTTCAGTGAAAATAAAATCTAGCGAATATATCTTTTTTCCTATATTTTACATTCAACTCATTAAAAATCAGTGAAACTTCATAAAAAACACTAAAACAGCTTTTTCAGCAAAATTAATTCCAGCTAAAATAAAGTATTTTACAATACGTCTTGGGACTATTATGTGAAATATTTGATGGTCTGAAAATTCATTTTTCTTCGCATGACTTCTTTATTGAATGGGTTGATACAACTAGATACACCCACAAATAATAGTATAATACGCACAGCAGTATCACACACTTGCGTACTCTCATCTTATATAATCCTTGGCGTAATAAACATTCATATAGCTGAACCTTCCAAGTTAATTTGAATGATATAGGTGTAACGTGCTGCCATATCTTAACATATTTTTTCATTTCATTACAGGGTGTAGACTTAAACTCTAGTCTTGGTTTGACTTGTGCTTTGTTGGTTGATGCTGCCAGCTTCATAACACACAGAATGTAAGTTATTAGTTCATCCTTATTCTCGTTTGAATTCATGAGACGTACCGTAACTTAAATGTTCACTCAGTGAATTACAAGAAATATAAATTTTGTTCCAGCGCTGTTTTGAAAACATTTTATGACAACGCAAGGATGAGTTCTATGCCATTTAAAAAGGTCCTATTTGAATTTATTTTTAGGTTGGGTTATTACATACTCTGCATAAAAAAAAAATCACCTTTTTTTTTGTTTTTATACAAGCTAAAATAGAGTAAAATCTCCTGATAGGAAGATTCTTCCAATTTTTATCTAATTTGTTAAAGTGTATGCGCTTTCATGAATGGTTGAGGAATATGTGTATGGTCACGGGGGGGTGTCACTTAAACTGTATCCATCTCTCCCATTGTCTATGCCCCCTATAGATAACTATAGGTGTCCTTAAGAGGGGCATATGTAATTAAATTGAGGGAATAATGCTGGAAAGTAGGGGTAATGTTAGAATCAGGGTTAAAGGTAGGGGTACAAATAAAACTCTTTTTCTCCTTTCACATCAAGATCCTTATTCCCTCAGCACACGGGAGTTCTTTCTAAGCTTTCTTTGATTCTCTTTTCACATTGCTAAGGCTAATTAATAGCAAATAATGAATGTACACACTCATTCTATGAGGTCATCATCATTTTTATTTCACATAAAAACATACATTGAATACACAAGGGATGGTGGACTGCATAATACCGATAAAAAAATGAATATTTCGAGAATGAAGAGTGAGGTAAATTGCATTCTACATTTGTGGAGCTCTTTCATTCTGAAGCACTATGTAGTTCTCCTGGACTTCCCCTTTGAGCTTTGAACCCCACAGTCAAAATCACTTTTAATAACATTGTTGGTGGATGCAAAGTCAAAGTCATGGTGTATAGGAGGAATAGCCGTGCAATTTGTGTACGTCCAGAGCCTCCTATTAGTTTAGTCACCGATGAACAAATAATTATACTTGAAAATACCACCCAAAAGCAATTACGTAAGCTGTTCACCTCCCATGTTTTTACAACACCCAAAAGTCAACTCTTTCTTAATACTTTGTGTAATCTGGATAACAAGGATTGGGAATTTCATTATTCCATGCCTTTTTTGGTAACTCTATGCAGCAAACTACGAGAGTTTCAGTGGAAATTAAACCACAATATCCTGTACACAAATGAAATGTTATTCCATATGAATTCACCATTAGTATCGTCAGATTTATGCTCATTTTGTCATGGTACCACCGAGAACCTAGTGCATCTTTTTGTTGAATGCGAGTCTATTAAAGTCCTCTGGACATAAATTTTTAATCTATGGGGAACAAAACTAGGATGCCCAAGAACATTGTCAGCAAAACAGATTATATTAGGAGACAAGGACTTCTCCCCTCTACTAAACCATATAATTATAATTGTTAAAAGAAATATCTATATGTGTAAATTAAAAAAGGAACTACCATGCTTTAATCTCATAAAATCTGACATACGTTACACGCAAAAGATAGAGTTAGAAATTTCAAATTTCCTGGACAAGTGGGGAGACTTCAATTGTTAATGGGTATTCAGTGTCTATTTTGTATGGGTTATACTAGCTGTGACATTTGTTGTATGTTGACATTGTGCTGTAAAGAATTTCTATTGTATGGAATAAAAGATAGTTAAACCAAAAAATCGATTCAGTAAACATGGTGGTTGTATTTTTTATCCAGTCAAGTTCTTTTTTTTTTTTTTGCTTGTATATTTGTCAGGTTCAAATTTCTGTCTTGTGTGTAAATCCTTCTCTGGTATATCTGGACCCAGCCATCTTCGCCAGCCAAAGAACGTTTGTGTCTGATCACCCCTCCAAACTGGTGTGGTTGGCAATGAATCTGCATCAACAAACCTTGCGATTCGGACAATGGGACCCAGCATACAAGCATTACAATCTGTTCTTTGGCCTAAAAAAAGAGGTTTCTAATCAAATTTGTTTTTTAAAAAAATATTCATAACGTCTGCATTTTTAGCTTAAAATAATTGAATAATTTTCATAAAAATTTATATTTTTTAGTTTATTCAAATCTGAGAAAAACCTTTTAGATTGAGGGGGTAAATCAGTGAAAATACTTTTATTCCAAGAAGTGTCTGCTAAAATTTTTCAGTGAAAATAGATTGGCAAATCTGATTCTGATATATGAATGTTAATGTGTTGTGCTTATTAAGCTTAGTTCATTTCCATTTTCAGTCTGTGCCAACTGTAATGTCACAAAAAAAAACAAGGTAATGTAAGTTGAAACTCTAGAGGGCAGTCACCAACTTTAATAAAGTCTGACCTAAATACACTCATGCTACCGTTTTCACTGATATTTTAATATAATGGTCAATCACTTTTGAAAAACAAACATTTGAATGGTCTTTTTGGAGTAATATGCAATTGCGGCTAAAAATGGAAAAGTGATATTAATATAGTTGCCGTTATGTGTGTGGCACAACCACCATGCCCTTTTAAAAAGAGAATTTCTTTTGAATCATAGTCTTGGGACTATATGTGATATATTTGATTCATATGCATAAATTGTTCATGATTACTGTGGATTACATTCATAATAAAAACGTTTTTGTGAATGCACCTGTGCACTATTCAAAAGCATTAGCACAATTCAGATTTATAATAAAGACCTCAAGAGTGGAGTGCCAACTCTCAAAAAGTAATCTTCTTGCTGTATTGTCACAAGTGCATGAATCCACGTGCTGAAAACATGCATCTTGATCACCATCTCCAAGACGCAACACTTAAAGAAACACAACATTTGTGATACACTTTATTTTTAATTATAGTAATAATAAAGGCATTAATATTCACAAGGAAGTTTGCACACCCAGGAAAAAAAGTTGCATATCTCTAAATTCTGTATTCTGTCTGTATTTCAGTTCAAATAGAATAAAACTCCTCCCATCTTTACATTGTAACTTTTAAAACAACATGCTCCTCTTGAGTACATAATATTGCAATCCAAAAAAAAAAAATATATATATTCATAACCAATGGACTCGTTCCATGCAACATTCAATGATATGCAAATATTGTTTTTCTTGATACTGGTTTTATATTTGGACACCACCAGTATACAAAAACTTATCAAATTGTTTCCATGGTTATATATGCCACGTATCACAGCCTGACAGAAGTATATTTTTTTTTTGTCTTGACTGTACAATGGCCAAACATTAAAAGAAACTAAATGCTTGTTTTCACACAAGAGGAATGACAGGTTACCAATTTGAAAACTTCGAGGGGCTGGAGGAACTCTGCACAATCCAATTTTGTTTTTATTTTTGTGAAAATCATTTGTTGCAACCCCTCCCCAGCTGCTTAAAGTATATTGGGTATTGTACACATATTTTTTTGTTACTCTCTCTCAAGACATTCTTCTCTTAACCCCTCCAATTATCAGCAAATGGGTAACCCTTAATCACAATATCACTGAAAAGTAGTTTGCTTTACCCTAAATAAAGCGTACTGTCAGTAAAACTGTTCAACTACCTCATAAATATTAAGTAGGAAAATGGCAGTACTTATTTTATCCAGTACATAAAACAAAATCAAAGAGGAAAAAGAAAAGTCACTCTTAGCTCAATATTCGTAATATAATCTTAGCAATGCTATATGGTATGTTGGGTACACACTAGTTACAAAGTCATAATATTTGAAAACCTGCCTGGCTTAAATATTTTTTGAAATATAAGTTAATGGCTGTGATGCTCAAAATTCAAAACATTTCAGTTAACTTTTAACAATACCCACTCTATGGTTCTTCCAGTAACCTTTACCCATATTTAAAAAAAAAAAGCTTTTTTCAATCGTCCTCAAATCAGCCTCTTCTCGTGCTCCGAGAGAGACACACATATGTTCCATCATGTAAATACTTAGTTTCACCAACCCCAGTAACACCCTGTTGCCCCCCCCTAACAAGTTGCCAGTTCATGTAATTATTCATAGAACACATCGGTATGGGCATGAGAATATACAACACTGCTCAAAACCTCACTATCATTTCAACACAACCAATTTGAATTAATAAGTTCTTTTGACTGCAATTTTCATTTCGTCCTCGACAGTTTGTTATACAATATATTTTTTTTCATTAGCAGTGGCAACTCTTGATGTTGATGTAAATGTTTCATGTAAATTTTATATAGTTTTGGCAATTTGTTTGAGCTATGTATGACTATATGTAATCTGTTGTTTTGTAAAAAAAAAAATCAATGCACATTCTGCAAGAGACTTAGAATCTGTAGATAAAATAGATGTGTAGATTATTAATAAATAACTCTGTTTTTTTACTTAGTAGTCTGTACATATGAAACTGAACATATATACAGGTGGAAATCAATTGTACAAAATGATACTTTTATGTTAGCATGCAGCATTTTTCAACAACCACATTTTTTTAAAAATACAAAATATCTTTCTCTATTTCCTATATCAGGTCATTCGTTATCTTAGCTATTAGAAAGTATTTACAACACACTGGAAAAATATCCTCACACCCATGTGATAAAAAACATATATATATTATTAACAGAGTTGTTTTGTATCTGTAATTTTAGAGTAGTTTCAGAGGGCCTGCTCTGTGTGCACTGCAAGTTTGAAAAAAAAAAAAATGTAAATGTGAAAAATTAATCTGATTCTAAAATACAACATTTGTGTAATGAGAGTAGATGGGCACACAGAAACAGACCAATTGTTGTTTTTCATGTCCTGTCACAGCCATTAATTATTTCTAACGTAATCTGATATGTACAAGTAAAAGCTGAGAAAAAAAAAGAATTATATTTATATGTATTATATAGATATATATCTCTATTATAGATAGTTTTTACATGTAAATTAACAATGCTAATAATGAGCAGATAGATATGCAAATATTCAAATTTGATTGTCTGTGTTTGGTTGCACCATGCATGACAAAACAGGTATAATGCAAACAAACTCATTGGCAAGTACACTGGAACATTAAATATGTTTTTTCATATATATATATATATATATATATATATATACACTGCTGAAAACAAGGGTTAAATGTTTTGTGTGACACCCACAAACATTAAAGCTGTAATTCTTATGAATTGACTGGAAAGTTAACTGTGAAAATTGGAATATTACTTATTGGGTGACACTTGCCAAATTAGTGAACTGTTTAACTCTTTGTGTGCCAAATTTTGTTTCCACTTAATTTGTGTAAATTTGTTCACATTTTCTGTAACTTTCACTGAATTCAATCTTAATTTTGGATCAAACAAACAAAATGTGACTTGCAGTCTTTGATCCCCCCAAAATTGAAATTTTCGCAACATTTTTTGTGAAAAAGAGCAGAATATAAATGGAACTCTTTTGGCACTCAAAGGGTTGAATACAAATACTTAATTCCTGATAGGCTAATCAATTGAGAAGCCAGTCAAGTGAATTTGTGAACTGTTTTACTATATCTTTTTATATCGTAACAACGAAATTACTATATATAATGCATTATTATGATACGGCTAAACGTTTGAAAATAATAATGAAATAGATCTTCTGAAAAACAAGCTACAACAATGCAAACAAACAAAAAATATTAGAAAGAAAAACAAAATGAGGTCTTATCAGGCCGACAAAAGAAAAACAAAAACGGCGAAAACAGAAAAATATAGCATATCTAGCATAATTAACACCGAGAACCATTGAAATTGGCTTCTTGTAGCATTACTTATTGATCCTAACAAGTAAAGCACATGATACAATCATCCTCTGTACTACTTGAGTGCGACTGCAAGTCCACCAGTGATGCTACCGCCAGCTGTCTTTTCCAACACAGAATTCACATACTCTGATGTATGCTTTGCAACCATTTGATCTGAAGCATATAATAATAGATAAGATCCAATTCAGACCAATTCAAAACATTACAAACTGCCTATCCCTAATGTAAGAAAAATAATTACCAGCCTTATTATAAACATTCTGTATCGTACAACAATAAAAGCTCAATTTACCTAAACCATTTCTGATGAACTCATCCAGTCTTTCAGTCAATGTACCTTCAGTAGGTTCATTAGGTAACTGCACACATTTCACTATATCATTCCTGATAGCAGCAATCACTTGTCGTAGCTTCTCTGTAATATAATACACATATTGATGTTCAACATTTATATTTATATGCTCCCGGATCCCAAAATGACTACATTTCAGTACATAATACCAAAAATATATCCATATTTTCTCACTTGCTTGTAAGGCACACTGACAAAGATAATGAGATACACGCTGCTATGGTAACCATACTGATAACATGATGTTAGCATAGCTGTGTCAAAACATGTTTGAAGCTGTCCTTTACATTATAAATCAAGTTTCTGAGTACACAGTACATACAGATGTATACACAACTAATTTTTCAACAACCTCAAACTGCATGGCAACATATGTGTATACGAGTTCATCTGGAATTGATGACAACATATGTCATACTAGTGCACTTTACAATGTATTATACTGTCATATAAACTTACTGAGTTCGTTATCTAAACCATGGAGCTTCACTTTGTTAGCTTCGTGTTGTGCCTTCTTTTTCAGTCGACATGCTCTGTAATTAAATTGATATATGAAAAATTAACCTCATGTGACATATACAACATATGTAAAATAAATAGAGGATATCCAATGGGTGGCTCATGTAGTAATTTTCATATGGTTCTCACCAAAAGCGTGAAACTGAAAAATTACTACCTGGGCATACTCTTTTAATAAATACAATATTACATGGTAACAAATTGTAATTATCACATGTATGCATTTCAAGCTGTTTGGCCAGCACAAACTAACATTCGTGACGTTAAATGTGTGAGCATGCGTCTTAGTTCATTTTTTTGCCTGTTTTCGCATAGCACACTGTTTCTTGGACATGCATTGCTGCAAGTTTATCAGTTATAATTTACAATTAATTGTTTTTTGGAACCATCAATGTATTTATAGTTATATATTTTAACTGAATTGCGGGCTAGCTCTGTAAGTAGTGACCATGCATTTTTACAGTAAATCGGTAAGCAGGAGTGATAGTTCAGTGGAGAAAACAAATCTCATGCATTGCATTGCATTGCTACTGTAAGGTTTGAAGTATTAGAAATGGCAATATTCTCAAATGCTATTTGAAAACAAAGACGCATATTGGTGAATGCGTGAAACTATCAGTATACAGTGAGATAGCTCAATCTTTTGGACCTTTTTTTCATTGCTATTTCCATTCATTATTGTCTAAACACAATTTAGGCATTAAATTTTGAGATTACAAACAAACAGTCCAAAAATGAAAACAACTGCATTTCCTCATGAAAATACTCAGTGACTTTAATGTAATAATATGCATTGGTTGTAAATTTATTAAAATGAAAATATAATATGCATTGGGTTTAAATTTATTGAAATGAAAATATAGAACAAGTTTCAAAGAAAACCGAACACGGACACAATTGGTTTAGTAGCAAAAGATCAGAGTAGTATAATAAACCAGTCATGCTCTTTCACATGCAAAAAACTTACTTATTGATTATTACTCAGTTGTGATCATAACAGTGTACAAAATATCAGTTTGTCGTTTTTTTATAAATGCAGGTAAAAAATCAACTCATTTTCAGTGAAAGCAAATGTTATTGGTTTGCACGCAAACACTGGATGTGGAAAGATACCTGCTGTTGGTTTTATGCACCAGTCAGAATGCTAGGTAGTGCTGGCCAAACATATTCAGGAATTTCTGAATAGCATTGGATGATAAATGCAACACAACAAGGAAGTGATTTATAAGTGCTGCGGTATGACTTTTTGGCATGATTTTTGTTTAAGAAAATATCGCCCACCTGCCAACACATTGCCCATGGGTAAGGTTTTCAATGCAATGGGGTGTATTCGGACAGCTAAGGTACATAAGCTTTATGTCACTGCTACTGCTTGATATACATAATAAAATTGTTTCTTAACATCAAATTTGGACTCTAGCAATGTGACTCAAGTAGCATTTTTAATCACACTATACATGACGTTATTCTACAACACAAATGTATACAACTCTGATGCCAGTCAAACAATCTGATGTGTGAACATATTACATTGCCTTGTACCAGCTAAGTAAGTGAATATCACAGACCACAATGTTTTAGATTTTGAACATATGGAGAATGTTACTACAGACCTGGCATCTGCTAACTGATATATATATATATATATATATATATATGCCCAGCTATGACTGTCAGTATATTTGTACATGCTGTTCAGTAGAAAATAACAGTAATTAAGACTAGTTTACCTTGAGGCTAGTTTATTCTTCTCTTTTCTTGATCTTTGTCTTGCATTCACTGGGAGTTCACTAACTGGAGTCAAGTCACCAATTATCTTGTTCAGTTTTCGTAACTCATTACCAATATGTAGCAGTCTTCGTGGGTTGGGTGTCAGATCATCACAGTCACTCCTCCGACTTTTCCCCACCTTCTTCAGAGAGACGCCTGCATGAGGAGTGGGGAAAATAATGGTATCTTTACCAATCTTGAAAGATTCACATGGCTTAGCCAACCAGCTTTTACTGGCCCAATGGCAACCAACCTGCAGCTCTTGTAATTTGGCAGTTACTTTGTTGCTGGATTGCCCTGTATAATGTGTACAATAACAGTTTACTGTACAAGCCATTAGCAAATGACACTAATAAGCCTCCAACATATATGATGCCATTCAGACTCTTCAACACTGCACAAAACAGAGCTCAAAACTAGCAGTAGCCTATAGCAGACTGACTACCAATTCTTGTTTTAAGGCTAGAATTTTTCAACAGTAGTAGCATAGCTAAAATTCTACTAGAAATTTACAAATAAAAAATTACACTGTTTTTATATTTATGAGCAATGTGTAATTTTTTTTGTTTTGAACTAACACTTTCACATGGATTTAAGTACTGTACTCGACTGGCTTAGCGCTCAGTGTCCAAAAATCATGTGTTTCAGGGAGGTGGGCGCTTACCCAAGAACCACCCTCGAAAACTGTGCAAATGACAATTTTAGTTCACCATGTGACAGATGGAGGCAAATATTACTTTATTTGGGGAAAAATATAATTGAAAAATAGTTGCGTCTTATTGATTTCAACACAGTCCCCCTATCACTGTGATTTCAACAAACTTTTACAATGAAACAGAGATGGTCACAAAAAATATACACATTTTATTACAATATTAATTAGTACCACCAGAATTTATGGGGTTAAAATTATTAGTCTCTTGGAACACAGTTAAAGTCAAAATCTTCGACAAATGCATTCAATCGTACACAAACTCTCAATGAAAAGCATTTCCCTCCATGATGTTTTCTTTCACGATTTGACCTGCAACAACGTCATTTGACATTAAGTCTGTTATAAACCAATCAGAATGCTGTATTGTACTGACGCATTTCTCTGGGAATTCCCAAAGACATTCTTGGCAATGCAATGCAAAAGTTAATTATCGATGTTGAAGTACGATCTGTTGGAATTGATTATAGCCAAAAAAGTGGCATAATTTTTTTTAAAAATCTGGCAATTAACAATTTTAGAAAGGTACCAGGTCAACTAAATATAGAATGAAGTATTTAACGCCTTAACATTTGTTAACAGGTCATTGTCGAAGTGAAGTTTATGCATGTTTACTATGGTCTACACATTTACAACATATTCACGGTGATCAATATCCACGCTGTAATATATAAATACCATTACCAGTATTCGGAAATGTCAAACAATGATCAAAGACCAGGTTTAATAAATAGGCACTCAAATTTGGGGCATTTTAGTGGGAGATGGGCAATTAACCGAATGTAAGCCCGAAAATAGAAATGTCCCAAAAGTGTGCTAAACCGGTTGAGTACGGTACTTATTAATCTTGATAAACTACCCAAAATTACCATGGCAACTGGTAGCCTACCAGGCTTCAAAGAAATTTTTATAAAATGTACAGATCTTTTTTTACAAAATGTATGATCACAAAGCTGTATTTCAACAATGAAAATGAGCATTCTTCACCTAAAATTGATGTATTTTCTCACATCAAACAAAACCAATAATACAAGTCTGAAAATAGCAAAAAATAAAGAAACATTACCTGATTTCAACTTACCAAAAGGTGTTTCTTCACAGTATTCAGTCTCCATTGAATCATCACTGTATTCATCGTCATGGTCACTGTCTAAACCCTCATCATCATTTGAATTAATAGACTCATCGTCATCATCATCATCCTCCTCCTCTTCCTGACTAAGCTTTTTATTTGGTGAATATATGTTATTGTCCTATGTTTGGGTGAATACAAATAATTACATAAACTCATTGTAGTTAAAGCGCGGCTCCGCAATCCCAGGAATTGCACCAGTGCATCACGGGAAATGTAATTTGCATGGTCCGCCCAGTTGTTTACTTGGTACACAGCTGTTATCATTTCAACTGAAGGCGTTAATTCCGTAA